TTTTTTAAAAGAAGCCAACATAATTAATAAATATTTTTTGGATGAAAAGGATTTCATAACATAGAGAACAAGAATAGAATAAATTCTATTGAAGGAACAGAAATATCAGTTCAATAACTTCAAAAGATCCTGAATGGTATAGAAGAACATTGGAAAAAAGGTCAAGAGGGAATTAAAAGAAGAAATAAAGCAGAGAGATAAAGGAGGCCTTTCTTGTCAATGTCCCAAGCTTCCTGGGTTACAAGACTGCAGGGTCTAGTCTTTTTGCTGGCTCAGGGTTTTTCCTGGGTTGATATTTTCTGAACTTTCAGAGGTCAATACGTGAGTGTGAGAGCAACTTACTTCTTACTCTGCCATCTTGGCTCCCAGAAGCAGAACCCTGAAAAAGTAATTTATTAATGATGTTATTCGCCAGAAAAGACAATCTGATGAAAGAGTAAGTAATATTAGGGAAGAACTTAATCCCTGTACACATGCCCCAGTCAACAGCAGCATACATCATTTCCAGGACATGGTAACCATACACAAAAGGGGATCACAAATGGCCACAAAATGGTCATAGGCTATTATTGCCAACAAGAAAGATTCTGTCAGAGGTGGAGCTAAGATGGCGGAGTGAAAGCAGTGACTTGCTTGAGCTCTCCCCCAAACCCCTCCAAATACTAATAAAAAATGGCTCTAAACAAATTCTGAAGCAGCAGAACCCACAAAAAGACAGAATGAAACAAATTTCCAGCCCAAGACAACCTGGATGATTGATCAGAAAGGTGTATCGCACTGGACTGGGAGCACAGCTCAGCACGACGGTGGGCGTGCAGGCCACAGCCAACCTGGAGCAGGCCTCAGAGGATCACGGGCAGTGGTGGAGGTTTCCAGAATCTTCAATCCACCTATGCCAAAGACAACTTAGGTCAGTGGGAAAAATCAGTTTCTGTTGGTGCTGAAACAGAAAGGCGGGGTCTCAGCTCCATTCCCCAAGAGCATGGCCCTGGTTGGGGGGCAGCTCCTTCCTGAGCTTCCGGCCCATAGACAGAGGGGGAATCCAGTGGCTGATCAGATAGGGATTGCAGGGATTTCTTTGCCAGTGATGAGACAGGAATCTCTTGCTTTGCCTGTGTGTGGATCTGGGTCACAGTTCTGGGCAGCAGTGCTGGGGTAAGGAGGAGTGCTAGCATGGTGGAGCTTGTAGTGGCTGTGGAGAGAAACCCCTCCTCACAGTTACAGGACAGAAAGGAATACTTGTGGTCACAGACCAGGAAAGGAGTAAACACCTCACCCCTTATCATACCACCTTGGAAGAACTGAAAATTTACAGGTTCCTGCAAGTATCTCTGAAAACAGCTGTACAAACCCCCAAGCTTGGGACAGTACATTCTCCACATTGGAAGCAGATTTGTACCTTAACAAAGAGTTTAAAACTCAAGAAATCGGCCGGGATTATGAGCAAGCAGCACAAAAAGAGTCAGACTATATTATCTTACTTAGGTGAAAAAGAAGATCAAAATATGCAACCAGAAGAAGACAACAAAGTCAAAACTCCTACATCCAAAGCCTCCAAGAAAAATGTTAATCAGTCCCAGGCCTCGGAAGAGCTCAAAAGGGATCTTGAGAAGCAAGGAAGGGAAGTAGAGGAAAAACTGGGAAGAGAAATGAGAGTGATGCAAGAAAATCATGAAAAACAAGTCAACAGCCTGCTAAAGGAGACCCAAAAAAATACTGAAGAAAATAACACCTTAAAAAATAGCCTAACCCACATGGCAAAAGGGGTCCAAAAAACCAATGAGGAAAAGCTCTAAAAAGCAAAATTGGCTAAATGGAAAAGGAAGTCCAAAAACTTACTGAAGAAAATACTTCCTTAAAAATTAGAATAGAGCAATTGGAAGACAGTGAATTTATGAGAAATCAAGACACAGTAAACAAATCCAAAAGAATGAAAAATTAGAAAACAATGTGAAATATCTCATTGGAAAAACAACTGACCTGGAAAATAGATCCAGGAGAGAGAATTTAAAAATTATTGGACTATCTGAAAGCCATGATCAAAAAAAGAGCCTAGACATCATCTTTCAAGAAATTATCAAGGAAAACTGCCCTGATATATTAGAACCAGAGGGCAAAATAGAAATTGAAAGAATCCACAGATCTCCTCCTGAAAGAGATTCCCAAAGGAAAACTCCTAGGAATATTGCAGCCAAATTCCAGAGTTCCTAGGTCAAGGAGAAAATATTACAAGCTGCCAGAAGGAAACAGTTCAAGTGCTGTGGAAATGCAAACTCAGGATAACACAAGATTTAGCACCTTCTACATTAAAGAACGGCAGGGCATGGAATATAATATTCTGGAGGGCAAAGGAGATAGGATTACAACCAAGAATCACCTACCCAGCAAAACTGAGTAAAATCCTTCAGGGGAAAAAATGGTCATTCAGTGAAATAGAGGACTTTCAAGCATTCCTGATGAAAAGACCAGAGCTGAATAGAAAATTTGACTTTCAAATACAGGACTCAAGTGGAACATGAAGAGGTAAACAGGAAAGAGAAATCACAAGAGACTTATTAAGGTTGAACTGTTTACATTCCTGCATGGAAAGATGATATTTGTAACTCATGAGACCTTTGTCAGTATTAGGGTAGTTGGAGGAAAAAAAATATATGTATGTATATGTAGATAGATTAAGGGGTTATATCTGGAGAATAAAATTAAGGGATGAGGGAGGATTATACTTGGAGAAGAAGAAAAGGAGAGGTAGAATGGGATAAATTATCTCACAAAAAAAAGATTCTCTCAACACACTGGTAACAGTAAAAAACAAAAACCAAACCAAAACAATTATTTCGTAAAGCATCTTCCAAAAGAAATTGTTCTGTCCTCCACAATTAGATTTTCTAACAGCTTTGTTATTACTCCAGTGGAGTAACAGAAATCCACAAAAGACAAGTACCAACAAAAAAGCACATGGGCATGTGCAGTTTGGGGTTAATCTTGATGATAATAATCCTGCCCATATTTCCCAACAGTGTGACCCCATAGATAATCAGAAATAGAAGAAAGATGGAGACTTGGAAATTTGGGTTTTCAAAGAATCCTAAGAAGATGAATATGACTGCAGCACTCACTTTACTCACCATGGTTACTGTTAAAGAAAATTACAGCATTTCAGAGCTGGCAGATTTCAGTGGTATATACTGAAATACTAATCTTAAAAAAATCCCTCTATAATTTTTATCTATATAAGAGATAGATAACTGGTCACCAGGCTTTTTTGTTGGGGAATTGAGAAGTTTTCAGGAAAACACATTTGAAGTGGAGACCTCTAATCAAGAAGATGCTTAAATACACATTCATTCTAAATTTTGTTACTTGTATTTTCTGCCCATTGCCATTGTCTTCTTTTCTGGGGCCAATCACTATTGAGTAACTGCCACAGTATTTTCTTCAAGCTCTCTCCTTCCATGCCATATTTGACTCAAATATTCTAGTGATTGCATTGCTACTCAAATCTACTTTCTAGGACTACTATACATTATTCCACTTTTTTTTTTTGCTTAGGCAGTTGGGGTTAAGTGACTTGCCCAGGGTCACACAGCTAGTAAGTGTCAAGTGTTTGGTCTGAGGCCGCATTTGAACACAGATCCTTCTTGACTTCATGGCAGTGCTCTATCCACTGTGCCACCTAGCTGCCCCTTACATTATTCCTGCACTCCACGGCCTTATTTCTATTTCTCATGCATATCACTTCATTGCTTCTCTCAGAGCCTTTGTATACATTGTCCTACATTGCCACAATGCACTCTCTTTTAAAGTTCACATCTTAAGAGCTCTAATTTCCTTTAAAAACAGGCTCAAATGTCACCTTCCCACCATAAAATCATGTTTCACAAATCTAGTATTTATGTCCAATGTACTTATATATTGTCTCCAAGATGTCTCCAATGTTGTTTCCAAAAGAGAAGGTCACATCTGTGAAGAGATGAAATGTTTGAGTTGTGTGTGTGTTTTAATAAAAAAAAAATACCTAACCAAGAACCTACTGCCTAGTAGATAAATAATAATTACTTGTTGATTCTTTGCTTGATTGACTCGTTAGCCCTTCAGATACATGAAGGCAGTTATTGAGGGCCTTTACTCTTTTCTCTAGCATGCCTATACCACAATGCTTTTGCTAATCTTCCTTTGGCAGGAATTAGAGTTTATTCTTTATGTCTATCAACCTGCTGTGCATGTTCTAAAATCTCTTCCTCTTCTGTGATGAAAAAAAATGTTAACCTTTCTATAGTAGCCTTCAAAACAAGGGGGAACCCTCTGTTTCATTACATGAGTTTTTGTTTGAATATTTTATAAATTAATTTATTTTCCTATTGTCAATTTTAGTGTTGACTGGCATTGAACATGCATCAATTCCTTTAAAATTCTTCTTATCATTGAATCCCAGGCCATCCCCAGTCACCTTGACTTTTGTCTTACCACTGGATATTGTTGAGTCAGACAAGTAACTGAGGTTGATGAATTTGTAGTTCTAACATGGATTTACTTGTATGGAATAGCAAAAAGTGAAATGAGGAGAACCAAGAGAATATTATATATAGTAACAGCAATATAGTTTTAAGAGCACCTTTGAGTAACTAAGTCATTTTAATTATTATAAGTATCCCAAATAACTGCAAAGGACATATGAAGGAAGACACCATCTATATCCAGAGGAAGAACTGATAAATAGTAGTATGTACAGAATGATTTTACATATGCACACATACACACATACACACATTTCAATGACCATGCCTCTCTATCTCGCTGCCTCTTTCTGTCTTTATCTCTATCTCTCTGTATCTCTATCTCTGTTTTTCAAGCCCTGGAATTTCAAAGGTTTATAGAAATCCCCTAATAGTTGAATTCCTTTTCCCAGTGAAAAATAGTCATTGCTTTACAACTTAAAGGCTTTCAGAGATTTTGGAGTCACCAAGGAGTTAATCTCAGACTCAGAAAAGCAAGAAATGATTTTAGAAAGAAAATATTTTAGTGTCCATTAGTTTCTTGACAGCTTCTTTCACATCTTTGTTCCTCAGACTGTATATTAGGGGGTTCCACATGGGAATGATCACTGTGTAAAAAACAGAAGTCACTTTGACTATGAGCCATGAGTTTTTAGAATTGGGGACACAATAGAGAAAGAGAAGGGTGCCATAGAAGATGGAGATGACAATCAGGTGGGAGGCACAAGTGGAGAAGGCTTTCTTCCTCCCACTGGCTGACTGCATTTTTATGATGGTGACAAAAATTAAAACATAGGATGTGAGGATGATTATGAGGGTGCTCAAGACATCAAAATTAGCGAGGATGAAAAGTATCATTTCACTTAAGTGTCTGTCTGAACAGGAGGCAGATAGGATGACAGAATACTCACAGAGAAAGTTATTAATGATGTTAGTCCCACAAAAAGACAATCTAATAAGAGAGTAGGTAAATATGAGAGAAGATGTTATTCCCCATACATATGCCCCAGTCACCATCAGTGTACATCGTTTCCGGGACATGGTAACCATGTACAAAAGCGGATCACAAATGGCCACAAAGCGGTCATAGGCCATTACTGCCAACAAGAAAGCTTCTGTCAAAACACTGGTAGCAGTAAAAAAATACTGTGTGATGCAGCTTCCCAAAGAAATCTTTCTGTCTTCCACAGCTAGGTTTTCTAAGAGCTTGGGCGTAACTCCAGTGGAGTAACAGAAATCCACAAAAGACAAGTGACTGAGGAAAAAGTACATGGGGGTGTGGAGTTTGGGGTTGATTCTAATGATCGTAATCATGCCGAGATTTCCCAACACTGTGACCACATAGATAACCAGAAATAGAAGGAAGAGCGGAACTTGGAGATCTGGGTAGTCAGAGAATCCTAAAAGGATGAATATGACAGCAGCACTCTGATTTCGATCTTCATTCACCATAATTCCTGTTAAAGAAATTTATGCCATTTCAAAGTTGGAAGATCTCAATGACTACATACTACAATCCTAACCTGGAAAAAAAAATCCCTCTGTAAGGAAGATAATTGATTACCTAGCCTTTTGGTTGAAGACCTTCAACAAGGGGTAAGTGACTAGATTTCAGGAAAATTCATTCAATTTTCATATCTCTGATTAAGATGAGGCTTAAATATGTTAAATCTCCTACTTGTCCTACTTGTCCCCATTGCTTCTTGCATTCTTTTCTGGGGCCAGTCACTCTTCAGTGATTGTGATAGGATTTACCTCAGTCAAAATCTTAAAGTGACAAATCTTACTCAGTAATTCTAGTGATTCTTTCTTATCTTTAGGATCAAAAAGAAACAGCTGTCTTTGGAATTTAATAACCTTTGCATTACAATTCAAACCTATTTTCTAGATTTTCTATACTCTACAGCCTAGACAAATTAGCCTTATTTGTATTCCTTATGTATGTCGCTTCATTACCCATCTCAGAGCCTTTGTATAGATTGTCCTGAATTGCCACAATGCACTCTCTTTTCAAGTTCACATCTGAAGAGCTCTAGCTTCCTTTAAAAGTGAACTCAAATGCCACCTTCATTCCACAAAATCATTTTTCACAAATCTAGTAATTATGTTATGCATATGGTTTTATGTTGTCATCTATTCCTATCTCTTACGTCCCAACATAATTTCCACGTAAAATAAATCGTGTTTTATCTAATACTTTGCTATATTGTAATCTATAGAATTCTTTTAATCAATTAATTTAGTTGTGAACATTTTCCATTTTTTCTACACCAATAATTTCATCTCTTTAAAGAATTCTGGGCATGGGAATTTCATTCAGCGTATTCATGAAGCTTGTGTGTATCACAGGCCAAACTAGGTCTTTTATCCATTATATCTTATTGTCTCTTATCAATTTAAAAAACCTCATTAAAAAACAATGGGCAGCAGCTAGGTGATGCAGTGGATAGAGCACGGGCCCTGGAACCAAGGGATCTGAGTTCAAATCCGGCCTCAGATCAAACACTTGACACTTACTAGCTGGGTGACCCTTGGCAAGTCACAACCCCTATTGCCTCACCAAAAAACAAAAACAAAAACAATTGGGGAGTTTTTTCCCCCATGAACTACCTTTGGCTTTTTGTGATTACTGCTTCCTTTTCATGATGTTAATTAACACTCCTTAAATTGTATTTGTGCATGTATGTGTACATATCATATTAGCTTTAAATATATATATATATATATATATGCGCTAAGCAAATACACGCATACAAATATATATATATAACCTAAGCAAATACACACACACAAATATATAAATATATATACATACATACACACACATACACACACACACACACACACACACAACACACACACATATATATATATATATACATATATATGTATATATATATATCCTGAAGATACATTTTATAGGGGCTACTTAATTATTATCTATCTCCATGCTATAACATTCATCTCCTTATTTCTAATCACATAGTCACCACCTTTATTCAGGTTTTCATCATCTCTCATCTAGTGTGCTGGAATAGATAGCTAATTTGTCATCTTGATTCTAGCCTTTCCTCAGTTCAATCCATCTTCTTTCTATGCAAGCTGTCAAAGTGATTTTTCTGAAACCACAAGTCTGGTTATGTAATCCTCCTGCTAATTCTCCTCCAGTTTCTCCCTATTGCATCTAGAGTCAGATTAAAACTACCCTGCCCTCCCCTCTTCTCACTTCCTCTCCCCTCCTTTCCTCTTCTCCACTTCTCTTTCTTCCCCCCTCTTTCCCTCTCCTCTTTTCTTTAGTCTCTGCTTCTTTCTTCTCTCCTCCCCTCTTCTCTTATCCTCTCCTCTTTCCCCCTTCCTCTCCTTTCCCTCTGTTTTTTCTCTCCTTTTCCCTCCCCTTCTCATTCCTCTCATACATTCTCTTAATTTGAATTCTGAAGGGATGAGAAGTATGAAAACAATGATATTGTACTGAATAAAAATAAGTTCATTGTGGCTGGAAAGAAACATGCCAAGAAACAAAATAACATTAAGAGAAATGAACCTATGCTAAGTGGGACAGTTTTGAAGAGAACTTGAAATTTCCTACATTTTGACCTCATTGTCACACACACACACACACACACACACACACACACACACACACACACACAAGTCTGTCTTTGATAAAAACCAAAATTTTGGCACTGGCAATTAACTAATTAATCAAATACAATCACATTTTCTGTATCCCATCTTCCTTCTGGGATGCATGAGGAAGAATTTCATTTTCCTTGTGGGCTATACTGCTACCATCAGGAGAGGAGTCAGCTTAGAAAGTCTTCAACCCCTGAGTGCCAATGCCTCAATTCTGTACTACTCTAATAAGTAGTTGCATTAATAAAGGCACTTTTATACATGCCTTTACAGAAGAACAAGTCATTACCAGGAGAAAGAAATTCAAAGGAATTAATTTCTAATAGTTACATTTCAGCAATGGGTCAAGATTCTGAGGAGATAATTTAAAGGAATTAAATTATCTTTTAAAAGAGAATTGGAGCTTCACAACATAAATTCAAGTGCTGACTCTTCCAGTGACTTCATGGTTGTTTGGTATTGCTTTTCCTCAGTTTGCTACTCATTTTTATTCAAATTTAATAATTAAATATGTATTTAAATTAATTTGTTAATTACTGGAGAGAGACATAGATTTGTCCTCCAGTCTCTTTAAATGGGACAGGAGGAGAGATGAGAGGAGAATTTTCATTTGATTCTAGAAAGGGAAACACTGAAAGAGAATTGACAGGGGGAGATATGATTAGTCCTGTCCTTTATGAGAAAGTACATTACATGTGTGACGTCCTGAGTTCAAAGGTCCCTTTACATTAAAATTTCATATTCTAGTACACCAGTTTCTATGTTTTGTTGTCACAAGCTGCATCCTCCTTTGATAGCCTGTGTTTCATTGTATGGGCTCCCTTAAAACAATAATGTGTGCAATACTTCCTAGTTGCCATGCAAAGTGTCTGGGGTGAGGGCACAACACTTAATGACAAACCTCAGACAAACCTATTTCAGTAAACTTTATTGTCTCTGGTGTTAGCAGAAGGGAGAAAATGGGAAACTTCACATCCCAATAAAGTATTGGCCAGCACCGTACTGCCATAGGATATCTCTTTTCTTACCTACATTTCTTTAGCCCATTCCCAGGGGACTTTTGGTTGCAAATCCTTCATCTCAGAGATGAGGAACTTTGCTAAATTTCTGTACAACCACTTTGATATTATACTTACTGGGCCTTCAAATGGTTCTGGTTGTTACAGAATTTTATTCTTTAATACAATGTCCCATCCCCCTATCTGGACTCTAAGCCACTTGAGGTCAGGGACTGTGTTCAGTGATTATTTTTTTGTTTCCAAGGGCTAATACAACTATTTGTATTCAATAAATGTACCATCAATCTTCATTGACGCTGGTACTGACAAGGAATATGCATTCCATTTTTGATTACACTCTCTCTCTTGCCCTACAAGCTCATTCTTAATTGATCTGTAGAATCTTTGAAGACAATAATTGAACAGACATGAATTTCAGAGGGAATATTCTGTTTTCTGTGGTACTGATGAGAAAACCATGCAAGCAAATTTACTTACCAAAAGCTGAATGCTTGAGAATGACTTATTTCTTAGCTATGAGTTTCTAGGAGCAATATGCTTGGTGAAGCTAAAAATGTTTCTATGATGATATAATACTCAAGAAAAGAGTATAGCTGCTGCTTTAGGCCAGCAGTGGGCACACAGAAAGGCTGATAATATCAAACAAGAGAAACAATCATAGACAGGTCCATTTCATACTGTTGTTATTAGTAGGTAAAAAAGAGAGAGAGAGAGAGAGAAGAAAGAAAACATTTTACTGTGTCTGGAATCTCTGTCTGGGAATAATGCTGGGAACCTTACATATGCACCTAGGACTCTTAGGAACCAGGCCCAAGAGAATATCTTCTGAGCTTTACTCCAAGGACAACTAAATAAAGCATTAAAGAGAAACTTAGGTCTCTTGTGTAAACTTCTCAAAATGGGATGTTTTTTTAACCCACACTGGAGATTCTAATTAAATGTTTATTTTCCAATCAGCTGATATGCATCTGGTTTAAAATCTATTTTTACCAATATCAGCTGTCATTGTTTCAGTCATGACCAAATCTTTGTGACCGCAATGGGAGTTTTCTTGGCAAAGATACTGGAGTGGTTTGCCTTTTCCTTCTCTAGTTCATTTTATAGATGAAGCAACTGAAGCAAACACGATTAAGCGACTTGCCCAGGGTCTCACAGTTAGTAAGTATCTGAGGCCAGCTTTGAACTCATGAAGATGAGTCTTCCTGATTCCAAGAGTTCGACTCTATTCATTGAGCCACCTAGCTGCCCTCTATGTGAGTAGGAAACAAATAGATGCAACAGTATGTAATGATTATTTAAATAGTCATTCAAATCAATTTAGTTCTAAAATGACAATATAAGGAGAGAGTATGTGAATATTACAACAAAAATAACATTCACTCAATATGCCAGTGACCAAAAAGGCACAAAAGCTCAAATATGATAAGCATATAAAGTAGGGGATTCCTAATTGTTCCTAAGTGGTCATAATCCACCACTCTAAAATGACAGCCTCAGTCACCACAGAAGTGGCTGAGGTAATTCTGTCTTTCATAAGTAATTTTCTAATAATTTTTGGGAGGTCAATTCCACTCAGTGTCCCTTCTTTCCCCAAACAAATCTCACTGAACAAACAGCTGAGGAAAAATAATAATATATGGGTGTTTAAAGTTTCAGGCTTAAACTTATTAGCTTAATCATCTCCAGATTTCCCGCCTCAATGATCAAAGAGGTATCCAGCAGCATTTTGAAGAATGGAACTTGCAGTTCCACATAGTTGGAGGATTTTACATAATTGAAGGCCAGTGGTCAATCAGTGAA